TATATATATATATATATATGAAATTTATATAGCATACATATATTGAAAAGGGCATTCAGTTAAGTGTTATTTTCAAATAAACAATTTTTTCCTGTGAGTACTATCCTATATATTATCCTTTATCAGATGAGAAAGTCTGCAGAGAGCTGGAATGGGGCTTGCTGTTCCCTGCCCTGTTTGCAGGCAGTGAGGCTTCTAAATATTCCCTCGTTGAGAGACTCTCCTGGGCCTTGGGGCAGGAGCTGCCCCAAACCATTCTGAGACTGCTCCAGCCCCTGGTGCTGGACCCTATATGAGCCAAGGTATGTTCCAGGCACATGCTGCTAGGAGGGCTCTCTTCTGATACTATCCACCCACTCCCCACCACCCACCCTCTGCCACAACTCCCCATCCCCTCACAGGACAGAGGAAAGAGAATCAGTCTATCTGACATGAGCCTTGGGCCCAAACCGCTACTTACTAAACCTCAGGTTGTGTTTGTTCATCTGTAAAACAAAGGACATTATACTTGCACTATCTACCCCCTGGGATATGGTGAGGGTCAAGTTCTGTGAGGGAGCAAGAAATTTAGGGAAGCTTCAGTGCCACACTAATGCAGATGGTCAGTAAGGACTGACCAGTTAGCAAAGAGTTAGGACCACCTTCCATCCATGTATGTGTACCTAGTGCTTAGAGGAGACTGTCAAGGGGGTGGGGGTGTTCACATGTTTTGAAGATTGTTGGAAGTTGGGTTTCCTGGAAGCAGACTCTGAGATGAACATGTGCAGCATGTTCATTAAGGAAGGAAGGAAGGAAGGAAGGAAGGAAGGAAGGAAGAGGGAGACACGGAGCTGAGAAGTGGACCTGGTGAATCCCTGGGGGACTCGGGAGCTGAAATAACCCATCAGAGTCATGCCAAGCGGCTGGGTCCTTAGACTCCCACCTGACAGGTCTTTGGATAGGGGCTGTGTCCGGAAAGGATGGGTGGCTTTGGGCAAGGCTGCTCTGCAGCTAAGGCTGTCCCTGACAGGGCTGGCAGCTGAAGGCCACTGCTGACAGTGCCCTCAAAACCTGGGCAGCCAGCTCTACCTTGACAGGGACCCAGGTGGCACACCACTGTGCCTGCCACATGTACCTACTGTGTGCTAAGAACACTCTTTTACTTGCAACTCCAACCTTTTGAGATAGATGTTATTGCCATTCTCTCTTTACAGAAGGGGAACCAAGGCACAGAGAAGCTAAGCAATTTACCCCAGGGACACACAGCTAGTAAGAAGCAGCGCTGGGATTTGAACTGGCAGCTGCACAAACCAGCCAGTGTGTGCCTCTCACTCAGTCTTCACTCAGATCCAGAAGGCAGGCGTGATTTCTATTTTTCGGGTAAAGAATCAAGACTCACAGAGGCGTAATAACTTGCCTAAGACCCCCAGGCTCCCCAAGCTGGCTCCAAGTGAAGGATACCGCCCCTTACCTAGCACCAGCCTGGTGTGGTGGCCGGGAAGGAAGGGCCCGTTCTGCAGGTGAGCCCAGGTGGCCAGCAGCTCCTGCGGGAGCCTCAGCAGCTGGTTGCTGGAGAGGTCGAGGAAGGTGAGGTTCCCCAGGAAGCGCGCGGCCTCGGGCGGCACGGCCGAAAGGCGGTTGGCCTGCAGGTCCAGCAGCCGCAGCTGGGGGGCGTCCCTGAGCGCCGCCCAGGGGAAGGCGGCCAAGCGGTTCCCGGGCAGGCGCAGCTCGCGAAGGCGGCGCAGGCCCCTCAGCATGAGGCCGCTCAGCTCGCTGAGGGCGTTGTAGGGCAGCCACAGCTGCTCCAGGCGGCCCAGCGGCCTGAAGGCCTCTCCGGGCACCTTGCGAATGGCCGTCCGCTCCAGGCGCAGTCTGGAGGTGTCCGGAGGGACGGACGCGGGGGGCAGGGTCATGTCGGGGTCGCTGCACACCACAGTCCTGGTCACAGAAATGGGGGACATTTGAGCGAGGGTCTTGCCGGGTCCGCGATCCTACCCTGCTCCCTCCCGGACCTTCCTTCAGGAGGCCTCCGGGTCTGCACGGGAACCGGGACCGCCAAACCCAGGCTCCAGGCTGAGGTGTGTCCTGGAGTGGCGCCGCGGACGAGCAGACCCCGGATTCCCCTTTGAGGGGTTCTTGCTTTGAGAGCCTTTCGCAGGGGTCCCAGAGGGCCATTTGGTCCTGTCCCTGGCTGAAGGACCTCTGTGTCCACTTACAACTCACACCACCTACAGTGCATTAAGAATGAATGGTATTCATAAATCTTGAGATCATTTTGAGCACTGCAGCACTGCATATATGTATTAAAAGTGTTCCTTTGTTAAATTATACCTCAGTTTTTGTGATATTATTTATATGACATATAATATATGTAATATCATATCATACAATTATATATATAACTTGGGCATCAGAAACGAAGCCATACACTCACTGGGTGCCTCAAGCCTCCCCTGATCCGGAGGGACCACGAGGTGATTAAGGTGTTTAAGAGCTAGGACTTGGCCCCTGAAGTTGGATTCATATCTGGGCTCTCTGCTTGCTGGCTGTGTGTCCTTGAGTATATTATATAACTTCTATTTTCCTCAGTTTCCCACAACAGACTCCACCTCCCCGGGGTGGTTTCAGGGCTTAAGTGAGGTCCTGCTGTGTACCAGTTCTGCAGACCTGTCATCTGGAGGCGTGCAATGCTATTTATTGACCACTATCAAAAATTCCTGCATCCCAGCACTGCAAAGCTCCTTGCAGTGATCCCTCTGCCCAGACAGTGACCTCCTAAACTTTGTTCTATTAAGTTTGGCACTAAAACAGAGGATAGAGAGATAAAAAGAAGCAGGCCTTGCTGTCCAAGAACCTACAGTTCAAGGCTGTGTTACGTGCCATCTCGGAGAGAGCAGCACACTCACATAAGGTAAAAAGGGAAAGATTCTCAAGGAGATAAAACTTGGAGGCTAGACCAGAGGGACCCAGCCCTTGTGCAGCCTATTTCATCTAGAGGGCTTCTCCATTCACACTGGAGCAGGTGGGGGCAGTGGTCACGTTTTGCTTTGCTAGGGGACCTTGTTCTTTTTGTACTGCTCACATCAGGCCTTCCTGATGTAACACACACTCTGCCAGCATCCATCAGTTCAGCCTGAATACTCTATTCGGAGTTGACTGGCTGAACTTGACTTGCTTTTCCTTGTCAGTGGCACAGGGGCTCCCACCCACTCACATTCTTCAGGTATACATGGACGCCCCTACTGAGGGATGGGTGCTGTGGAGATTCAGAAGAATATCAGACTCATAGCCCCTGTCCCTATACAATAGCTTACAATCCAGCTAAGGAAGATATCACTGGGGGCAGTGATATTTTCAATGATAATGGAAGTTTGACTGTTGCAAAGAGGAAGGTCTGGATGTAGGAGGGAGGACGGCAGTTGACCGGAAACATGCCCTGAAATTTATCAAGGGAGGGATCAAAGAAACCACTAAGAAGCCAGCAGGAGCCAACAGCACATCTGGTGGGGCAAACTGGGCATAAAGAACGTGGGAACACTTCTGTCCAGGTGCCCAGACTGGGCCCCCCAAGGAAACCCCAGTATCCACAAGTACCCACAAGTTCATGATCGTGGGAGCGTGGAGCATAGGCAGGTCACCCAGGCTATCCCGATGTAAGGATGGAACCCTCTGACAGTCCCTGGTTGGAGGTGGGCTGAGGAAGTCATCTGGGATGAGGAGGAAGCCTCCGTCTGACTTTGCTATCTGTGCTTGTGGCCATTGGGGACCTCAGGGCCTCCTATAGCCTTTCCTGGCATCGTTGCCCTCATAGGACGCTCCATACAGATGGGCTGGTGCCTATCAGTCATGGGACTGTCAGGCAGGTGGAACTGATGGTAAGAGCCCTGGCTTCAGAGGAAAGATGGCTACTGGCTGACATTAGAGCCCTGGAAACTGACCTTGGAATTTTATTTTCTATCTTAAGGCTAACCTGGTATCACAAGCCCTCCCCTGGTCCCTGCCCATGACAGAATTACCAGTTGAGAAGAGATCTGGAAATAGAACTAAAGCCGTGGGTTCTAGGACCAGGTCTGTCACTGATGCTGTGTGACTCTCAGCCCTGTGCTTTCTGTAAGTAGCAGGAGAGGCTCCTCATCACCCTAGTCACACTGTCCTTGGCCAGAGGCTATTTCCTGGCTGGCTCAGGGCTTAGCCCTGGCTTTTCTTGAGGAGAGAATCCTTACCTCTGATGATCCATATGAATTGGACCATCAGAGACTTGGGTCAAAAACGGAGTTCTTGTTTTTCAGACCACACAGGGTATCCTTTGGTGGGGGGATGACTCTCCATTCTTTCCATCCCCTCACACCTGATCAACCCAACACCCATTGCCAGGATCATTGTAAGTGTCACACTGATAACACTGCTGCCCTGATCAGAAATCATCAGTGGCTCCCAGCACCCATCTAAGACAAGGGAGAAAGGGAGAATGGAATTCTAAAATGTTAAAAAGATGGTAGGAAAGGCCCTGAGCCAAGGACTGAAATTCCTAAGCAAGTTGGGAAATGCAATGGTCATTAGTGGATAAGTTGAAGATGTCAGAGAAAAGATAGTCTAAAGACTGCCAAAGAGAAAAGGAGAGGGGGCCATGGTGGGAGAGCAAGGGTCCACAAATCACAGTGGCTTTGGAACACCCCATGGAAGGGAGGAGGAGAGGATGGAGGTGCTCTCAGAGCTCAGGTAGGGCTTGGGGAAAGTCAAAGAAAAGGCTGAAGATATAGGGGTGCTTGCTTGCAATGGAATGGGCACTCCTGGGCTTTTGGAAAGCCCGTAGAAATATGTTGAGGCCGAGGCTCCTGGGGGATGGGCCAGAGGTGCCCCAAAGTGGGAAAAACATGAGGAGGCAGGTGGTCACATTCTGGGTGGGGTGGTAAGAAATACCTGGGCTGTACTGGGTAACCCCAGAAGCTGAGGCAAGAGAATGGAAGAGGCCTGGGAGAAAAGGGGCTAGGGAGATATAGAGAGAATGGTGGAATAGAATGGAAGGAAGGAAGGAAGGAAGGAAGGAAGGAAGGAAGGAAGGAAAGGAAAAGAAAGAGGTAACAGAGAGACTTCTCATGCCCTTTGGAGGGTTTCCCTCCACCAGGATCCTGGAGGAGGACTCAGGATGGATCTCCTGGAGTGGGCACACTGTGTCCCACCCCTGCCCCCACGTGTAAAGAAAGGGACTTGGTACTTTCCATGCCCTGCTGGCTGGAAGACAATGCAAAGCAGACCAGCCCCCTAGGACACTTGGGCCTCAAGGGCCTGGAAGATAGAGGTCTCACCCAGCCATGTTCTGAGGACCCTGCATACAGCCCTCCCAACCCAGCCAAGCTGCTAGAGGGAAGCGGCGGGCTACCCATCCCACACACCTGGTGACATACCTGGCCTTGCTGCCATCACCCAGGATGTGGAGGCTGCAGCTGCATTGAGAGGGGCAGGAGCCGTGGGCTGGGGGGTGCCCCCAGAGGGCCAGGAGCCAGAGCATGCCCACTGCCACCCTCATGGCTCCTGGCTCCTCTGTAGCCCAGGCAGGGGCCTGTCCCTGGACTGCTCTGTCGTCCCAGCCCAGGAAGCCCAGCAGCTGCCCACTGGCTCATCAGCTACCCCCCGCCCCCGCCCCCGCCTGAGGCCATGGGATAAACACAGACAGACTGGGGATTAGGGAGGGGAGCCCTGGCCACAGCACTCAGCCGCTTATTACTCCTGGAATCACCAGTCCTAAGGGAGAGGGTGGAGGATCCTCTTCCGTGGCAACAGCCCCAGACCCAGAGAGGCCAGGGTGTGGCAAGGTGAGGCAAGTGGGCAGCCACCCAGGGGCAAGTGGCTCCTGCACTGGCCAGCTTGGCTGTCCACCTTCGAAGTCGCCTCATGCCAGCTAGGCTGTGGGCTACATGGACCCTGCCGGGGTGCCTGGGCTCAGAGAGGATGAAGACAGACCTGGCCTCTGATGAAGGCCATTGGAAATTGTCTCCTGTGACACTGTTTTATAGGGGAAAAGCAATGAGATGAAGGTGATAAAGACACTAGAAAGAGACCAAGCTCAAGGACCAGGCCAGCCTGGGTTCAAATCCCAGCTCTTCCATTTATAGGCTGTGACCCTGGATAAATTACACGGTCTCTCTTGGACTGTGTATCCTCCTCATTTGAAAAAGGGAAGTAATGTTACTCTAATCAGGGTGTTTATGAAAATTAAACCACCCAAGTTTCCCAGATTTTGATGGCCTGTGGTAATAGAAGCTCCCTCCTAAGTAGTAAGCCCACAATTTCACTGGCACTTAAAGTCACATGCTCTTAAAGGAATTGGAAAGATTCGGATACTTGATACGTTTGATCCCCAGGCTCTGCTCTCTGGTCCAGCATGCCCTACCTAGCTCCTTCAGCTTTTCCAGAAGGTTCCCTAGTGCCTGGTGCCTATAGACGTAGGCAGACCTAGACCAGTGAGGTGTGACCAAGGCAGATACCTAGGACCCCAGCGCACACATGAAATGCCTAGCTCTGTGCCAGGCCAGTTTTGACAATCTTGGCTTCTAGGAAATGTTGGTTCCCATCTCTTCCTCTCTTCCAATCCATTGGTTTTCTCAATGCTTGCCACCTGTCCCTCCTCCTCCCCAAGCCAAAAAGGGGGACCATTCCCACATCTCTGCCTTTTCCTCCTTCTGTTGGAGATGCCTTCTCATCTCTGTTTGGCCTAACCGAGCTCTGGTCTTGATTCCTGGCCCGATCCTGCTTTCCCGTCTCCCTTGAAGTCTTCTGCAGTCTTGCAGGCATGAAAAAAAACTTGACACATGTATGAACCAGTAATGCAAGGTAATTAGGAAAAGGGGTAACCGTTTATCAAGAAAGTTTTCCAAGAGGATGTGGGCAAGCACTGTGAGGTGGTTAGGCTTGGTTAGATGGGGGTGGGGTCCAACGGAGGAAAGGCATGGGAATAGGATGAGCCATTTGACCCGGATCCCAGGGGACAGGAGACCAGGCTTCTGTTTCAGCTGAACTCACAAATTACTACATGACCTCAGGTCAATTCTAAACTGCTTTGAGCCTGTTCCCTCACATGAAATGCAAAGGATGATGGTATCTAGTTCATGGAATTGCTGTAGGAGTCATCATAAGGTCAGTTAGCATAGTGCCTGGCTCTTAGTGGGGTCTCAACATTAACTATATTGCTGATAGAGCTCTGGGCCTTGGTTTCTTTATCAGAAAAGGAGTTAAATCACTCTAGACTAGTGTTTCCAAATGTTACACCATTGGCCAGTGTAACTTGATAACAGGACCTCATTGTAGAAGCCAAAGCTCTTAGCGGGGTCCTGGGCCACTAAGACAGCAGTCCCTCTGTCCCAAGCTAATGCCTTTGGGAGATTTTTATGCTCCTATAGGTTAAATGCCCTGTGGGAGTTGGGCAGTGCAGCCTGGAGGCCATATCCATGATGTATTTTTCTGAGACTTAGAAAGGATATTTCCATTGCAAAGAAGGAAACTGAGAAGACCCCAATGGTCCCACCCCAGTCCTGATAGCTGGTTAATGTCAGGTTCTGAAACACGACCTCAGTCTCTAGTCCCAGTTGGGATTCTTTCTGTGACAACGGCTGACCTGCCAAGCATCATCCTTTTCCCAGTCGCTTGTGAGCACACGCATGGAAGGACCTGGCTCCTGACCCAGTCTCAAGCACAGCTGGCACTCAAATCCCTTTTTCTGCTCCCCACCCTTCCCTTGGTTATGCAACTCTTTTCTAATTTGGCTCTCAGCCACACACCATTTGGATTCCGGGACTTTAATCCTGCCTGATTGGGCTGAAATGAATGAGACAGGCTTCCATTCCCGCTTCACAAAGGCTGCACTGTTCAACTGGTGAATGGGTTCCTTCTTTTGGGGCCAAAAGCACAGTTTAGGGCAGGGGGCAGCAAGAAGGAGCCCGAGGTCTAGCATAATCACCTGCTTGTGCCAGCACGTGAAATGGCCCTTTAAAAGGTGGAGCTTGGTTTTGGTGCGCCAGAGAAGAGCCAGGCTGGCAGGGAGAAGGGCCGAGCATGGCAGAATCTGGGTCCTTGCCCACCGGCTTCGGGGAGCTGGAGGTGCTGGCTGTGGGGATGGTGCTGCTGGTAGAAGGTGAGCCAGGAAGGACCTGGGGTGGAGCGGGCACCCAGTGGGCTCCCAGAACTCAGGTCACAGCCATGGAGCTGACAAGGAGAGGTCCCCAAACCCTGCTCCTCTGTGCCTCCACCCATGGGGCTTCTGATGGGTGCACCTGTAGGATGCAGGCCGCGGTCTGGGAGACGAGAGAGAGCAAGGCCCAGGGAGTGAAGGACATCTGCCCAGAACATGACCAAGAACCAGAATTCAGGCCTTTTCATGTCCCACCGGCCGGGAAAAATTTTAATCCACTCCCCAGAAATCCTGCTAAGAATCTCATATAAGCTCAGGCCTCTGGTAGGCTCTGGAGACAGACAGCTCTGTCACCTCCTCTTTGTGTGACTATAACCCAGTTCAGCTGGGTTCTCTGACCCCAAGTGGGTGGTGGTGAAGGTTAGATGGGGTCATGGGTGTGAAGCGCTGGCCTAGATAGACACTCAGGATTTAAGTTCATTTGCCCCCATCCTCTCCAGCTCCACATTACTCCCGCCATCTCTGTTCCCAGCCCTACGCATTTCCATTCCAGGGGCCACAAGGTGCCTGCCTCAGCCCAGAATCCCTGAGATGCTCCCTGAGGCCAGAGTTAGGGCTGGAGATCATGGTGCTGGGTCAGTCCACGACTAAGTTATTAGGGAATGCGGCCCTTTTCACAGCAGATCCAGAGAAATAATCAGCCCATTTCCTCTGAGAGCTGATGATGGAGAGGGAGGGGCAGCCACCAGGCTGGTCCTGGAAGTTTGGGACACCATTGGCTGGGGACCCTGCCCCTTTTCCTCTCTTCTGGGAACCCTACAATCTAGCATCCCTCTCAGTCCTTAAATGGACCTGGAAATTTTACCACATTAAATCTTTGCACATGCTGTTCCCTTTTTCTAGAATGTTCTTCCACACCCTGCTCTCCTAGTAAACACTCGCAAATTTGAAGACAGGATTCTCCCAACTCCTCCCTTTCAATGGGGAGGCAGGGTTCAGAGAGCAGCAAGTGGGTGACCAGGCTAAAACTAGAGATCTGGTCTGCCTGAGGTCACCCTCTCAGACTCACCTCATTGCCTGCTCCTCCAGGAAGCTCCCAGATCTCCCCTCAACCCACCTCTCCCAGGCTCTCCCTGACATTGCTGTTTGAACAGCCTCAGAGTGGCATTTTGGAATTAAACAGACCTGAGTCTGAATCCGGCTCTGCCACTCACCAGCTGTGTGCTTAGGGCAGGTTAGTTAGTGTCCCTAAGCCTGCTTCCCAGCTGTACACGGGGAGGACAGCATCCAGGTGAAGACTGAATGGGAGGATCCACAGAAAGTGCTCGGCCTCATGCCCAGCCTACAAGTGTCAGCAGCTGTTGGTAACTGTGACTGTTCCAGCATGAATCATGCTGTACCTTATTGGTTTCTTCCTTATCTTTGAGTTGGGGTGGGGCAGGATGTACATCTTATGGCCTTTAGGGTCCGAGAGCCAGCGATGTCTGACGAGCTGCACCAGTAAGGTTGCTGAGGCTCCATCCACCCCAGGCCCCCTGTTCTGACCCCAGGCAGCCTCTCCAGCCCTGACGTCAGCCATCCCTTCTTTTCAGCTCTCACCGGCCTCTGCCTCAATAGCCTCACCATCCTCTCTTTCTGCAAGACCCCGGAGCTGCGGACCCCCACCCACCTGCTGGTGCTGAGCCTGGCTCTGGCGGACAGTGGGATCAGCCTGAATGCTCTCGTGGCAGCCACATCCAGCCTCCTCCGGTACCAGCCCCCCTGCCCCAGTCCCTGAGCTCGGGGGCCCAGCCTGAGCTGGGTGTCGGACAGCCAGGACAGAGGCATTCTTCCCACCTATAGAACACTGCAGGGGAAAGGGTGGGCAGGCAGCATAAGGCTAAATCCGAGTTCCAGACTATCCCTGAAGAACTAGGGCTGATTTCTAGAGTTGCTCAAACCCCACCAACAGAGCTGGATGACTGTAGGGATTAAGAGCATGGACCCTATAACCAGGCTGCCCAGATTTGAGTCCTGGCTTCGGTATTTCTATCTCTTGGCTTCTTCTAGAAGTTGAATATTATTGCCTAACTCGTACAGCAGCTGGAAGTATTAACTTGTTATTATGTGGAAGTAACTTAAATGATGCATGGCACCTAGGAAGCCCTACCTAAGTGTTCGTAAAAGCAAACAGGATTTTGACAAGTGTCTAAAACCTTATGTGCAAACCATGATCTTTCAGTATGGTGTCAGGTGTTTCCAAGATTGTTTTCTTAAGCGAACTGAACATTCCTGCTCTGGTTTCAGGCATTCAAATAGAGGCTGGAACACACCTGAGTGTGACGCTCAGGGCTGACCAGTCTGTGGGGTCTGAATCAGTGACAATTCCTTATCCTGATCTCCGCCTGCTCCTTCCCAGGCTTAGGGAGGAGAGCAACAGAAGCTGTTTTGGTTGGTTGGCCCATGGAGCTAAGAGCTGGAGCCCTCAGCTCTACCCTCTGGCTTAGTCTTCATCTGCTGTCTGACCTTGGTTCAGTACCTTTTCCTGTCTGAGCCTCAGTTTTCCTATCTATAGAATAAAGGCATGGGCTTTCCTCCTGACTACGATGTTCCATTTCCCATGCTGGAGGCTTCTGGCCACACAGAGAGACCCTTGGGTCCTACCGAGGTGCAGAAAAAGACACTGAGCCCAGGGTATTTGCACTGGGCTCCACCCATTCACCTTGGGGACTTGACCTCTGAGGCTGCTGTTTCCTCTAGGAAAAACAGATCATAAAGCCCTCTTCTGGGGAGCTGAGCCAACATTCAGGAAGGTGCCCTCCAAGCTTCGGAGGGGCAGGTGTGGGAGAAGGGCAGGGACAGAGGGAATGGGTCACTGGTCCCAATGTCTCCCACAGGCGCTGGCCCTATGGCTCCAACGGCTGCCAGGCTCATGGCTTCCAGGGCTTCGTGACGGCGTTGGCCAGCATCTGCAGCAGCGCAGCCATCGCCTGGGGGCGCTATCATCACTACTGCTCGCGTACGTCTTTGGGTTCCTGGACTGAAGGGACATCTACACAGTGAGGGTGGTCAGGACAAAGGTCTACACTGTGTTACCCAGTCCAGGGGAGTGTGGGTGGGTGTCTGTCTGTGAGTGTGTGGTGTGGGCATTCAGGAAAGGAGGGAGGCTGGGAGAGTGGACTTGAAAGGAGCTGAGGCACCTGCCTGAAAAGCTGCCTGTGCCCTCAATGCAGCCTCAGGCAAGTCAGGAGTCCTCTCTGAACCTTAGTCTCCACTAAGAGCAGATTTTTGTAACCAACCTCCCAGTTTTTGGACATCAGATGAGATCATGGATACAGAAAATGCTCTTGCAGACAGGCCCTGTTGGGGGGCAGAAAGGCAGTGTGTGTGTGTGTGTGTGTGTGTGTGTGTGTGTGTGTGTGTAGCTGGGCATGTGTCCCTGCACCTCACACTTCCCTAGGGCCTCTGCCATGCCAGGG